AATTTGGATTTTTGATTTCAGATAAAAAGTGAAAAAGTTATCACGACTACCGCGAGAGCACTTGTTTTTGGACGGTCTACTTCACGACACTGCCAACGCCTTAACATTTTAACTATTTTGCATTCAAATTTTCTTCAAATGTTGCCCACATATTGCGCTTTTATATGAAACAAAGAAAATTGGTTACTTTATTAGTATCTTTTCAAAAAATTTAGAGAAAATAAGCTTTTTTTGACCTTCAATACCGATAAAACCAATAAAAAAATATATATTAAGTTATTTTTTTCTATTTGTGTTCGTCCTTCGGCAGTGAACGGAATGACAAGCGCTCCAAGTGTATTCCTGTCATGAAGTAAAAGCTAACCATATTTGCTCTAAAAACATCAATACGTACTACACAAATTGGAGGAGAAGCTCACCCGAAAATCGTTTGAGCGGCTACAATGCTCCAAATATAGACGAGTATATTGTTTTCAAAAATGTTTAAACCTTGAGCCTTTTTATATTTTTTATAAATTTTATTCCCACAATGTAAGAAATATTTCATTTAACTTATAAATTTTTAAATTGAAAAGTTAAACAGGTGGCAACTATCATCAAACGTATTTTTCCCTGTAAGTATTTTTAGTTATCCACCGTTTGATCCATATTTTAATACTTGAATACTTTATTTTATTTTATTTATTTTATTCTTCATTTTTAAGATTTTTATCTTTTCTTTATCTCCCTCTCATTAAAAAAAATATTTCGGAATATCTAGAAAAATGTCTTTTATGTTGACTGGAATGTGTTCTAAATAATTAATCAATCGAAAATAAGATGCACTGTTTAAGAGCACCTCGACTGATGCTCCAACTGCTCCAACTTTTTGGTAAGAGTTTTTCCTTCAAAGGATTGACATGTTCTTCCGATCTACTTACGAGGGGATTTACAAAAGTTCGATAAGTTGACCAGAAAAAAAATCTTTTTGTAATTATTCGTATTCTTTGCCCTTTTCTATCTTCTCTACTTAATCGATAATTGATTTCAATGTATTTCTTAAGCCTATAGATCTACTTATGAAAACAGTTTTTGGGGCCTCATTTGAAATCCGTGGTACCCATCGGGAAGATTTCTTCGTGTATCCCAGATGATTACTTAATATTCGTGGTACAGCCTTGAATGTCATGGCCCAGTTTATTAGCAAACATTTCTTGTGTCAATAGTGGATCTTTGTCAATTTTGGACTTCACCAGAGCTACAGTAGTGTCATCAGTGAAAGAATTTGGTCGACCTTCTCGGGGATCGTTCTCTAAAATCTTCGTTGCCACTTAAAAATAGTCTTTAAAGACGGTTCACTGTATATTTGTATTGGCTGTAAATTACGCAAGAAACCCGAAGAGAATCACATGGCGAATTTCCGTTTGCGTTGGTGGTGGAATTTCGTCTGACCTATTCTAAGCTATCTTGTATTTTCTGGTCTCCATTTTAGTCGAGCGTTCTAAAATTTGAAAGGAAGACTAATAAAGTAATTGCAAAGGATTTGGTATTTACAGATTTAAGAAAAACAAATTGAAAGTCACCAACTGATCGAAATTTTGTTAATTCCCTCGTGTGATGTACAAATTTGCTTAAATTCAGCAGAAAAATATTTTTTGTTAATGCTCATCAGATTTACCGTTCTCTTTGTGCCTAATTTTCACCCTGAAGTAAAAGAGTGCACAACAACACAAAACTTTTTCGTATAATAGAGAGTTGAAGTTGAGTTGAGTTGAAGCGACTGTTGGTCAGTGATCAACACACTTAGGCCAATAGGCATATTGTGATACCGCTGGGAGGCTCCTGTCTTCACATTCTCAAATGTTCGAACTATTTCATTTGTCTTATGAAAGCACGAGATTGTCTATATTCACTGAAGCTAGCTCTGTGAGACAGTCGAAGAAGTATTTCCCAAGCAATTTGTGTTCCGCACAATGAACTGTTACTATAACTACTGTTATGTTATTGGACAACCATTCTAGAAGATATGGTGTTTTGATTTTTTCGCATCAAATATCGGAGAGGTACACAAGGGAAAATGCGAAAAGTGAGGACTGCTTAGTTATCATAATTGTTATCATATTTTGAGCCACGAATCGTAATCGGTTAAAAGTTGAATAACATAATAACAGTTCAAAAGCTTGTTGCTGGCACAGTGGCTAGAAACTTCTATTAAGACAGGTTTTATGGTGGGATAACGGCTATAAAAAGTCTGATGAAGTGATACGGAGGCTTCGAGATAGAGCTCGGACATTTACAAGTTTCTGTTGTTTATTGAACTGAAAAGTCTTATCAATGGGTAATCGGATTAGAATTTAGTTGTATGAATATCTTATTTCGGCCCTTATCATAGCTAAAAAATTATAATTAACCACTTTACATAAATTGCTCTCCCTCTCCCTCTACCAGAAAATTCGAAGAAACCTTTTGTTACGAGTCCAATATGAAAGAACAAGTTAATTGAGCAGATAACAAAGTATTTCTTTTTTTGAAAAACTAAAAAAAAATTCTGAATAAAATAAAAATATCCAAAAAAAAACTTTTTTAGATTTTCCTCTTAGTTATCGCCGTATCGTTCGTCTCCTAAATCCTCTGAAGATTGAAATATGATATAGATAAAAGTAAATATATGTATTTATAGCAATTCTTAAATTCTATTACATTTTTGCCTATATTTTCCGCCTAAGTCAAGTCGCTGCTTTGGACGTGAAAGCCTTACAAGTACGATCCGCTAAATTGCCGTATTGGCTTTCCGCTCAAGTCCAAGTTCAAAGTGTTGGCGGCATTGCAATGCATTGGTCTTGTTCGCCATTACGGCTTATTACCGACATTACATCGTGTACGCTAGTTCAGTCTATTAGGTTCATAGACCTTTTTCTCTCCCCATAAGCAATTTCTAGCTTTCGTAATATGCAAATACGTAAGTGTGTATGTACAATATACAAGATATTTGTAAGTATGCACGTAAGTACGTACTACCTGGGCCACCAATGTAGTCATTGTTTTAATGTTGGCGATTAAATGCCAGAAAATGGAAAATGTAATGAAAGAAAATTGTGCAATCGACCAAGAACTATTTCTACACGTGTCGCCATGTTGACTTAAAGGTGTGCACTCGCAATTCGGTGGAGGTGCTTTCTTTAATAAGTAGAGTGTACAAATAGATGTAGGGTAGTAAGCGCGAGCTAATGTGGTTTAGGAAAGGCGAATGTAAACGGATGTTCTTTGTTAGACGCGTGGCTTTCAATGAGCTAATATTTTTTCAGAGTTAGTCTTTTCGAGGGCTGTTACTTGATTTATACTCATTTTGGTTCGTCATTTTATAATGAACAGTCTTGCCCCAGAACAATGTTTACAAATCGTAAAAATCGTGACCTAAAATGAGATGGTCACCGATCCCTATGTTAACCAATGAAGCTCCCTATGTGTGAATTAAAACTGTTTCATTTGGAGTGGCATTGATTTGTGGATTGGCATTATGCAGACACCGTTAAATTCTCAAAAAGCCACTGTTTGGTGTGTTGAATGGTCAGAGCGAATCCTTCGTACATATTTTACATAAATTAACCTAAAGTTATAGTCAATGGGAATCGCTAAAAAACCATTGGCTATGCCTGCATTTGAGGCTGTTCAATGCATGTTTTAAGGGCGACATTTGGCTCCAACAAGGCGATGCTCTTAAATATCGCAATAGGGTTCTATCGAGTGCAAGCCGACTTTAAACAACATCACATCTGAGGCTCCGTCAGGCTCAGGAGGACCTCTCCGAGCCGTTTGATACCAAACAGTGTTTCCTTATCGTGTAACTTAGTTAATTTATTACTTGAGAAAATAATACGGAGCCCAGTGATGAATCCATAATATTGGCATCATTAGCCGCTAAAACCGCGTCGCTAGTTCTGATTTTTCCAGACTGATAAGGAAAGAAGTCGTATGGGTCTTGTAATGAACGAGGACAAGACGAAATATCTGCACTCATCTTACTATTGACAGTCACAACTTTGAAGTCGTAGATAACTTCGTCTATCTTGGAACCGGCATTAACACCAAAAACACCGTATGTCTTAAAATCCAGTGCAGATCACTCTTGCCAACGGGTGCTATTGAAAAGTCCTAAATGAAAGTCGTCTCTCGACGAACAAAGTCGAAATTTAACAAGTCGCTCATTACTCCCGACCGGCTATATGGTCAATAACAATATCTGTTAAGTAGCCGTTAGGAGTTTTCGGGAGAAAGGTTTCGTGTCAGATTTATAGTCCTCTACCAGTTGGGTATGAACGATTACAGCTGACGATAGAACGATGAGCTGTACGATATATGCGGCGATATTGACATAGTTCAGCGAATTAAGAGCCAGCGGCTATTAGATCAAGTCACCAGCTTTGATATTTTTCAACCAACAGTGCCCGCCGGTGTAAACAAAGGAAGAAGAAAACCTCCACTACGTTGGAAAGACTAGGTGGAGAGAGATCTGGTTTTACTTGATATTTCCAATTTGCGCCACACACTGAAAGGAAGGAATGAATGGCGCGCTCATGTTAACTCGGCTGCAATCGCGTAATCAGTGTCCACCACAGTAAAGTAAGAGAATAGGGTATTTATGAACTAATCTTGTTATTGTCGGACTGAAACTTTAAAGATACTTCTGGGCTTCGTTTACTTTCTTGTATAATATTTTCGTTTGATTGTTTTTCAATTTTTATGTTCCTGCTTGCAAATTTACCTCACTCTCAGCTGAATTCATTAATTGCTGAGTTTCCTATATCTCATTCGCTTTTTTGACATCACTTAGCTTTAGTTTAATGACTAACAAGAAATTTGAAATTTTTTCACCTGATAGCTTTGAGAAAAGTAAACAAAAAGACATAACACAATTAGATGGTTCTAATTTATGTGCACCTCATACCAAGTTCTTGTCAGCATTTTGTTTTCCTAAAAACTTCTATTCACTTTACCCATCAATTATGGCGAATAAAAATTACCTCGTGTCCGCATCTTGGGTCGCACTGCAGCGCTTTGGTGAGCCGCTGATAGGGCGGTGTGGCAGGTGGGCAAGATGGCACTAGCACTGAGTCGTTATAATCACCGGCGGTATCCACGACTGCTGTTTTCTTGATAGCACCTTTTATACCGAAATAAACAATGTTGAAGTCGAAAAAAATAAAAACAACGAAATCAACACTTCGCCGGCTGTGGGCTTGAGTTGTGCGGATAAACTAGAAGCTGGCGACGGATGATAGCGAAGAGGATGGCAAGCAGTCGAAATTATACGGTGACGGTGTGAGTTACGTAGGTCGCCACTATGTCTGGAGCGCTGGATTGAGTGCTGCTGCTTGCTGTCGATTGCTTGACGCTTTTTCGTCCTTTTTTGCTTTTGCTTAATATAGTTGTTATTAGCGTTTTTTATGGCAAATACTATTTGCTCTGTTTTGTCGCTGTTATTTGCTTATTGTTTTGTATTGTTTGTTGACGATTCAGCATAATTTGGACGATCCTTTATTTTTTATTTGCCAATTTCACCGTATTCCGTTTTATCGACACTTTCGTCGATGATGTACAATGTATGAAAGGATAGCGGTTAATTTCAATTTTGCTCAATATCTTTTATTCACATTCCATTTACGTTTTTCCACTTAGAGTCCTTTAGCATTTTCACGTACACATCATTACCATACACCATAACACCAGAGTGGTCTTCCGGTTACTGGTGGCTTGGTTGCTGGTACAACATACAGGCATTACATAACTGAAGTGTATTCAGTTTTTTTGTAGAGCTGAAATTAAAGAGAAAGACAAAAACACTGTTATTGGCACTTTTATTAATTAGAATGTCTAAGATGTGTCTAAAATGGGAAAGGTGTCAATAGCAGCAGCGTTCATGACTACAATTATAGGAATAAGATAGTAAAGATTTAGTTTATGAAAAAAAAATTATTTTTCGTGGAAATAATGAAAGAATGATGAAGACCTCTCTCACATTTAGAAAACCTTATCTTACAAATTAAAGGGATATTTTTTAGTCTCGAAAACTTCTTAAAATACGTCTTTTTGCACTTTTTTCATCATCTTCAATGAATTCCAGGCCTAAAATATGCCTACCCGTATTGGTTTTTTATTTTTTCTCAAACTTACAGCACAAAATCAAACAGCAGATATTTTGGCTATCTCCTATTTCGCTGGTAACAAAATTTACAGGGTAACAGTGAGCTCAGAATACGAAATGGTAACAAAATTTACTGAATGGTAAATTTTAATAGCTAGGTGAATTTTGTTACCATTTTAAAATAAAATATATGGGGAAAATTTTCATATATTTTTAAATGTTCAAATATGCAAAAATTATATATGTTCCAACCACTGATAGTGGACTTCTTCGAGTGTATGCTTTCATGACATGTTACTAATTTAGTAAATTATAAGAAAGTAACAGAATGAGAAGAGATTCGTCCACCAAAATTAAAATCAAATTCATGAAGATGGGGAGTTGACTGGATTTGCTTTATCTACGCTCACAGTTTAAGAGCTGTTTCCAGGCAATTTCGTAAACAAACAGTATATTGTTTTATAAATGGTTGGTTTTTTTTAGAGCAGTGCGAATATATTATAAAAATCTCATAAATATCCCAGAAATCGCTTAAGTCGATTAAATTTCCAAACACATTGAATTCAAACTAATCGGCAAATATATTGATATTAGTCTGTTAGTTAGTTAAGCAGCTTGTTCGACCACGCAACTCTGATCACTTGATAATACCTATGTTGGTTCTACGAAGAAGATTCCACTCACCTTTCCATACGCTCAAACCAGTTGGTGTATTTTACGAAGTTCTGGAGATTCGAAGAAGAAATTTCAGAGAAATCGATAACGGAGCGCAGGGTTTACCGGGGCTATGACTATACCTATCCGGTCAGCTGATCGACCACGCAGTTCCCTGGTTGTCCCTATAACTGCAGTGCCAAACCACTTTGAGAAAATCTAAAAGATTAGGATTCGAAAAAAAAAATGAAAATTTGCAACTCTTTCAATATTATTTATCTATCCAGCAAATTCTTTTCTTACTTTTGCCGCCTATGAAAAACGGCTTGAAAAACATATTTTAATTCACAGCATCTGCTTAGCAAATAATCCCAAAATAATTAAAAAATCTCGATTTTGAAAATTTTATAAGTGGCGAGATAAAAACATTTCTGAGCAAACACGTTTAGTGTTAAAAATTTCGAGGTGGAACTACCTTATAGAATTTTTGTATCATGGTGCTGAGTACTGGTTGGTTGAAACGTTTCTGCGCTCACCAAGAAATCGCACTACTAGCTCTAAATTTTTTTTTTCTCAAATTGTTGCAACTGTCGTGAGAAGCACACATACAAAGCTATAAGGCATTCTGTCAATTCATTATTTGTTTATAAACCATTTGAACTTGACGTGTCAGAGAATTTTTTTTAATATGGAAAAAATTTAATATCGCGCAGTGATTGATTAAATTAATTAAAATTAAATTAATTATTAAAAGCAAAGGGAATTTAAGAATGATTGTTAGAAGTGTATAAGAAGTCCTCCCATTCAAAACCAATCGTGCCTAAATACGATCCACGCGAGGGACGACCAAATACCGCAACCACACCAGAAATCATTTTTAGAGTTCATAAAATTGTTAGTGAAGCTCCAAGTTTGACTAAGCAAAGTAAAATTGCTAATGCTTTAGGCATCTCAGACGAACGATCATTTTAAGCGAAATCTAGCGAAGTTTTATAACAATTGATGAGGCTTGGATCTACCACCATGATCCTAAATTGAAACATTAAAGCTGGTTCTTTAACTTTAAAGCTGTTGAAGTCCCAACGATCAGCAAAGAAAGTTGTGACATCAGTTTTTTTCGGATGCATAAGGAATTTTGTTGATTTATTATCTGCAGACAGGAAAGAAACTCTGAATTTTATTACTGGTTTTTGGATTAGCTGGATGAAAAAATTAAATAGAAAATACCTGGTTTGCAGCATAAATAATAAAATAATCACAAAGGTGTTTTAACAATGACAAAATTCAACGAATTAAAGCAGTGTATTCACCAAATTTCGGTCCCTGCGATTACTAGTTCTTGAGAAACCTTAAAAAATAGCCTTCGTGGAAAACGATTTTTGTCGAATGAAGAAGCTATTAATGCGTAGACGGGTATTTTACGAAGCTTTCGGGAAGTCATGGCGATGGCATAAAATTATTGGAGGATCATTGGAATAAGTTAAGGGAGATCATATTGAATAAAAAATATATTTCGTACCAAGAATAGCATTTTTTTCATGTACTTTTTATGAAAGTTTTCAAAAAGTTTGAGGAATCACATTCTTCTAGAGGGGACCCAGTAATAAACATAATTCACGCTTTGTAACCGCTGAAGTGATTATCGGCCAAGCTCCTCCTCCAATTTGTGGTTTTGCTTTTTGTTGTTTTTCCAACAAATGGAAGGACCTACAGTTAATACCAAGCCGCCTCTCAACGGCTGATGGTTCCTTATGAGGATCTTTATTTCATGTCAGAAATATACTTGGAGGGGTTGACATTCCCTGCCGAGGGGCAACCGCAGTTAGAAAATTTAGCTTATTTTTTTATTTAAATAAATTTTCTGTAACTTTTTGGATGTTAGTACGACACCAGGATTTGAGCCCGAGCCTTCCGAATGACAGTACGCAATGCTAACCACTCGGCTTCCTAGGCGAACTCTGTAATACTATCTAAATACTGCGGATCTTATCCAGTAGGGTGTCAAGCACACACCGTAATGTAAAATTTCATATGTTTCCGTTCCAATTGGATGGTTTGCCAGGGTCAGGACCGCCCGACTGTATTTGAACAGAGCGTAGAGCGGAGTAAAGGCGACTTGTTGCAGTAAGAAGCCTGCCCTGCCCCATTTCTTCGGCCACCCAAAAGTCACAACTCAGTAAGTGGCTAACGAACCAGCATAATGAATATTACAAAAACCCAAGCCTCGCTTCTCTGAACGGAACAAAATGCAACTGGTAGGCACGAAGATACAAAAAAGTCCCGAGTCTCTTCGGGAGCCACATCGACGAAGACGAATGGACCTACAAGTCTCACGCTTCCTAAACATTTTTGGTCTTCTAGACCAGCGGGAATCACTGCTTAGCCCTTAGTATCGAGTAAAAACCCTCTGTATACTCGAGGGAAAGGCTAAGTTATTAACAGGGTCCAATAAACAGGAAGTCAACAGGTAGCAAGGGCTGTCGAAAAGTCCTTCATGAGCCCTGCACCAAGCCCTGAGCAATCCGTTTTGACGTCCGTATCTGTAGGGATCATTAGCCCAGATCAGAGGTTCCGCTGTTTCTAAACCACAGAGAGAGGTGACGGAAGAGTACTCTGTGGAATTCACACATCAACGCTCTCAGCCAATTTAATTTTGGGGCTACCAGCGTTTTCCAAGCAGATCTTATCACAATCACGGAATCCACAGAACGGCTGCTAGGATTTCTGGTTACCAATCAATCAATCTGCAATCTACATCAAAGACAGCGTTGAAATGCAGAAGTCCTTCTAATAAGCCCTCAGCTAGATGACATACAGCCGTGGTCTGGGTGGCCGGACATAGGATCAAACCATGCAACGGTATGGCGGATGAGCTTGCGAGAGACGGTATCACCTAACTAGAAAAATTCTAAGCATGTCACGGGCGTACCCTTGTCCATGACGAAACTAAGACTGCCAGATACAAAACAGCCAACAGTAAATATACGACTTAGCGAGGGAACCTGCGAACGTGACTAGGGAGCATTGACCTATACTGGAAACTAAAGGATCAAGGTAGCCTAGACCGCTTCACCATCAATTCAATAACGGGTATGCTAGCTGGACACTGTTTAATGGGACTTAAGGGTAAGGGAATGGGATAACCGCGTAACCGCGTATACGGTGCCTACACCAACATAGAAGAGAAAAACTTGGCTTCATTGGGCTATATTTTTGCATACTGATTTGAGAGAAGATATCCATTATCATCAAGTATTGGGCGTTTGCCATATTTAATCATACGATTATATTGAATAAAAAACGAAACGAAAACAAAAAGAAGTAAAAAAACACTTCAATACATCGTTAGACGGTCGCTGCACAATACATTTCATGTTTCACAAAGTTATAAATAATAAAATCATATTTATGTGGTTCACATAAATTTTCTTTACGAGCGTCATTCATAACCAAAGCAGCTGCTTTTTACTTACACTATAAAATCTGTGCGTGTAGACTTCATCCTGTCGACTCTCAACCCATCTC